GAACCTATTCTACAAATTTTATTATAAATTTTAAAATAACTTACTTAATAAAATTTTCTTTAATTATAAAAAGAAAATTTTTACCATCATAATCATATGAAAATTGATTTACATATCCTCTACCTTTAAAACTACTTTAACATATCACTTTATTCAATAAATCCTGCTTAGTCATTAAATCCCACTTAAAATTTCTCGTAAAATTGATTTAAAAATAAAATAATAAAGTTTCAATAATTTATAGCATTGATTTAACAGATTTGAATTTTACAATGTTAACTAAAAATAGACATATATTTAAATTTGGGTTATTATCCAAATGAAATAGAAATCTCAAATTCAGTGTTATAATGTCAAATTCAGAAAAGGATTTGGTCAAATAAAGTGGAAATTCCAAATTCAGTGTTATAATGTCAATTCAGAAAAAGGGTTTGGTCGCAACTCTAGTTACGACACTGAAAAATGTCTATACATGATTGAAAAAGGTTGTCGGGTACTTCTGGCATATGTTTAGGATAAACAAAATAATCCTGACATGAGGTTTTTGGACGCGAACTAGCAAACAAATGCTATTTATAAAATAAAAAATTGTTAGATGTTAGAATTGTTTCTGGAAAAATATAATAATGTCTATGAATTGGATTATTTAAAGGATGTGCCTTTACAGTCAAACCTGTCCAGATGTCCAGCATAATTGAATACAAACATAAAACCAAATTAGTTATCACGCATAATTGTATAAGGTATAAAGTTTTATTTATAAGGGAATTTCGATATTTAAAAGTGGGTACGTAAAATTCTGTTAAAATTATAATTAATATAGCAATGCCCTCATAGATGAATATCCTAAGTGAATACAAAACTAATTTACTAGTCCTATGCATCTAACAGGTTTGACTGCAGACTATGATGGCAACAAAAGTTCATACACATTTAAGATTTGGAATTAATTTTACTCACTTTATATCGAAACATTCTTTTTCCACCAAAAATAGCTCGTCTTCGATCAAATTCTTTTCTTGAATTCAAAATTCTCATCTCTTTTTTCTTGTGCGAGCTACCATTATTCATTATTTGTTCAAATTGTTGGAATAGCTCATCACCAGCGACGTTGGAAGTAATATGACTCCATATCGGTGCAATTTGTCGCCTTATAATATCTTCATCTGATAAAAGGTGAGAAGTAGGACTAGATGACCTTGAGCGGCGAAATAAGAAGAGCGATTCTGGTTCAGTATCAGCAAGTACGTCATCAACCATTTCGTCCTCCGTACGCCAAGCTTCTTCATCTGATGCTATGAAAGCAGCGTCGGGTACAACATCAAATGTAGAATCATTTGGAGGAACAACATTTTCCAAATCTGCCTTTTCACCAATTCTATTACCGAATTCACGCGTCGGCAAGTTCCTATTATTAATTTTAAATTCACCAACCTCCATAGACGCTTCCATTCGATCTTCATCTCCATTATATATATTTCGATCATCTTCATGAGAAGATCTTATTCTATGTTGTATTGAATGATTTAACGAAGACATACCACCACGACCCATTGTAGAAGTACGCCTGTTACCAGATATAGAGCCTTGATCAACACCAAATGAGCTATTGTACATTGTTGATCGATTTGAACGATTATTTACATTAGCTTGTGCATTCCCCGGAGACGCCATTCCAACATTATTATTACTTCCGCTCACATTGCGTGAATTAAATTCATCAATGCGAAAATTGTCGTTACGTTCGTAAAAATCATTACGGTTGAAAGAGGCTGCATTAGAGCGTAATTGCATTGGAGGTGATTGTAATTGCGAACCACTATAAGGTACCCTTCGTGAGCCGCCAAGATGGTCATAATCGGCACTATAACGACGATCATATCCAGGTGCAGGAGAACGGTGCGTTGGTGAAAATTGAGGCGTCATTGAAGGAGAAGTTTGTGACTTCGAAGATGGAGATGTAATGACGTTGCTAGTGGTATTGCTACGAGGACGTCTAGATATTGAGTCGGCGTGCGAATCAGCCATTATTTTTTGGTCCCTTAATGAGGTTCCTTTTACCGAATAATTATCAAGTGACGATTGATCTTCGTAACCAAACTTTCTTTCATAGATATCACGGTTACTTGAATCCTTTCGATCATCCAAAGCTTTCTCATCAGCAGACTCTCGCGATTTTAAACGTGGTTTCTTGCGAGGAATTTCAATATCATCTGAATTATGTGGCTCATATTCATCAATTTTATCATCATGTGCAGGCGATATCTGATAACTACTTTCAGATTCATTTGAAAATCTTTTGCCAAAGTCTTCGGATGGAAATGTCCAACGACTTTCTCGTGTTATTGGATTAAAATAATACACTTTATTCTTTCTTGACATACATTTTTGCCACGGATCAGGTAATATCTCATCATCCTTTAAAATAATTTGATCAGTCTTTAAGTCCTTTGATTGTATTTCCATATCCTGTTCTTCGCGCTGAAGAGCATCCAACGAAAAATCGTCATGATGTTTGTCATTAATGAAAAGCGAATGTCGATCAGATTCAGATCGGCGAACAAGCTCTGTCCTATTCGTGCGAGCCATTTGGTCATTTTCAACATCACGAGCTGTCCGCCGTTCAGGTTCACGTTGATGAAAGTCATATAAATGCTTATGTGAATCAACTTTTAATTCAGCAGAATTGCTCCTGCTTTTATGCCCAACTTCACGAGTTCTTTCCCGCTCTCTTTCCCTTCGATGATCCATCTGATCTTTATCAGAAAAAATACCAGTGCCACCACGGTTATCCAATTCCCATGACAAACGTCGTTCTACTTCCCGAGGATGGCTATCAATCATCCGGTCACGACCTTGATTATTGTCTCGACTATAATCGCCACGATACCTATCAACACCAATAGGTTCACCGCGCAAATCACGGTCTCGATAGTCTCTATCAAACTCTCTTATTGATCGCCTATCAATGTCTCTAAGATGATGTTCCGATGATGGTCTATATAGGTCAGGAAGCCCACCGGTACGATCATCTCTGCGATTTGGTAATTCCCGTTCTTGGTCTCTATTTATTCCTACCCTGATATTGTCTTTTGCTATAAACTCATCGCGTTGACGAATATCTCTATCCTTCTCTCTAGAACGATATTCCGGAGGACGTTGAATTGATTGAAGGGAATCGCCCCGTTGTTCCCTATCTAAATAGGGTTTACGTTCAGTAAGTTCAGATTCATCCTTCTTCCTTTTTTCTGTTCGGTCAAGTTCAGATTGCACATTTGGTTGAACATTTCGTTGCCCGGATTCTCTATCCCGACCTCTATTATCTTGGAAAACTGAATCATTTTGTGCGTCATTTTTTTGGCGGATATTTGAAGTTCGCTCATCTCTTCTATTAGATTCAATTCTTAACCTTTCAGAAGCATCACGTTGATAATGATTATCCTTTTCACGATCTCTATTTAATAATTCTCGTTGAGATCTATCTGATGTTGCAGATATTTGATGATGTTCATCGAGTCTACGAGATAATCTTTCATCTAATCGACGAAATGCAACATCTTTTTCGTCAACTTTACGTATATTAGGAGTTATCTCCTTTGACGAATCATCATGAAGTCTTTGCTCTCGATCCCTTTGTGGATCATCACGTTGACGGGAAACTCTATCACGTTCTCTCACATAATCTAATTGAAGCCTTGAATCATATTCTCGATCACGTGAAATCTCATCACGAAGTCTTTCTCGATCCCTAGATTGGTCTTCTTTCTTTAACCTTTCTAATGATCTGCCCCTACTAGGACCTCCTCTATCTCGATCTGATACACTTGACGACCTACTGAGAACACCACCTCGAACTGTACTATTAGATGATGTATCAGCGGTAGGTGTTCTATTACCATGTTCACTGCGTCCTCTATCTTCACGCAAAAAACGATCCCTATCGGATCGACGTTGGTTATCAAAATGAGCCTTATCCTCCAGAATGCTTTGATTATAACGTTCTTGACGCTCCCGCTCACGCCTATCACGATCGATTTCGTGGGGCCTATGATCTCTATGGTCTCTAATAGTGGCAATTGTACGATTATATCTATCTTCCCGTAATTTCTCGCGAGAATCTCTATCATATGCAAGCCTTCTACGATCATCTTTGTGAGGAAGTATTGGTGGTTCCCTATTAATGCGATCAAGATTTCTATCTTTCTCCGAAATACGACCATCATCAGAACTCTGCCGATTGCGAATGCGTGAAGACAAATCATAAGGTTTGATTACATCACTATCTTTGCTTCGTAATGAATCTTTTTCATGATTTCTTTCACGTCCTTGATCTATTTGTGACGATGTTTTTTCATGCCCATCAATAAAATCTTGATCCATTGGTAGTTGACCATCATCAGGTGGTGAAAGATAACCAGAATAACCTTCTTCAATATCACTATGTAATGAAAAATCATCGTCTGCCTGTATTGATACAACGTCTTCCTTTGCAGCATCTTCAGATTCTTCACCTTCAATTACATCATCGTGACTTGTTTTTCTTTTCTTTATTGTTATTTCGTTTGAATTATCAATTGATGATCCTAAATTTTCTTCATCTACTTTCTGCAAATTAAGGACATGCATCTTATCCACCTCAGTAGTGATACTTTGATTATCATGAACAGATATTTCATCGTGTGACATTGCATCATATGAAGAATGTTGGATTTCCCCACTCTGCTCATTATCAGTATCTCTAGGTCTATTAATTTGATGAAAAAAATCCGATAATATGCTGATTAGATTAAAAAATTCATCATAAAGCCCTAGAGATCCAATTAACTAAAAAAAAAGAATAAATAAGAAATATATAATAATAATAATGATTTTCGTGCCTTGATATAGTATCTTTTGATTCTTTTAAATTATTTGATACTTGGTCTTTCGGAGCAATTGTATCATGCATAATTGATTTTTCAGATTTTACATCACGAAAAGTACTTTTAACATTACTAGTATTATTCTTTGTAGGTTCAGCTAAATTCTTAACAGTGGAAGGGTCCGTTTTTGACTTTGCCTCAACAGGTTGTCGATCCTTAAATTTCCCAGCCTCTTGTATGAGCTCACCCTCAGACAATTCACGTTCAGCCTTTAAAACCGGATTGAGATTCAGGGGTTGAGTTTTATGAAGCGACGCGTTTATGTGTAACTAAAAAAAAGAAAGCCAACCTTCCGAGAATCAGAGATTCGTCTAGATTTACGGGGTTCATTGACAGGAACATGTTCTTTAATTTCCTTTTTACCCTTTGCCTGCCTTGGTAAAGGCGCGGCAGCAGAATTTTTAGTGCCTAAGCGCTCGAAAACTGATTGCCTTGGCTGTTGAGATTGTTGTAATTGGTCTGAAATTTGATTTCGTTTTTTACGCTGTTTAGGTGATTCATTAGTTGAAAGTTGTTGATTAGGTGAAAAAGATTGTGCATCACCTTGATTACGAGAATTGGTAGTTTTATTAGAATTGCGCTGATTACGAGGCGGCATTGCTCGATCAGTTGGGTATGTACGTACGTACGTAGGTTTTATTATTACAGTATAACGATAATGAGCGTTGCACAAACTGAAGGTATCAATTCTACGTAATTCGAACTTGTGACCAATAACGATAAGTCATATTTCTGATCGTTGGGTTAGGGTAGCGTTGCCAACAAAATTACGTATGATTAATCATCACATACTATATCTTACAGTCATACCCCTCTATAGTCACCTCCTCTATAGTCACAAATTCAATACAGTCACACATATTTTTTTACCAACTA